CAACTGTTTATTAAATGAAAATTATTTATTTAACCCCATAGAACATTTAATTCTCAGGCATGTTATTCTTTTCAAAGAAAGATTAAAGATAAAGATAAAAAGTTGCTTTGAAAGTGAATAAGTAATTAAATAAGTAAGCCAGGTAATGGCAGGTGCAGAAAACAGCAACGTCCAAAATACATCACAAACTCACCCAAATTAGCAAATTCTGTGAGATTCTGCTTTTTATACTGGAATCCATTTTGTGTCAAATCCATAATTTCCACATTGCTATTTTTTCTTATTTTTTTGAGCACCTGGGAAATTTTTCCACGTACCCCCGTAATATGCTCGCGTAACCCGAGGGGTGCTTGTACCCCTGGTTGGGAATCACTGTGCCACAGTCTGTCCTGCTGGAATGTGATGTGATTTGTGTCACACAGGTGTGATGGAGTGAGTTCAATCCAATAGGATGTCAGGATGGTATATATTTACACTTCTTATCAACCACAATCAAATTCACTCTATCCATGGGCTCCATGTGTCTGGATAGATTTATATTTATAAATTTTTTTTGAACAATGAAAAGATGGAATAAAAACAAGTCAAAGTTGAATAGAAATGAAATACTTTTTGCATTTTTAAAAAGTAAGCAGTAGAAAGTACAGGTAATTGAATTAAGATGTAAGAAGTAGAAGTAAAAAGTAGGCTGAAAAATAATTACTCCACTAAAGTATAAATAACCAAAATTACTACTTAAATAAAGTAACAAAGTATTTGTACTTAGTTACTTGACAGCTCTGGAAGCCTCAGCATTTAAAGAAGAAATTCACCATGGGAGCATGCCTTAGTTCATATAGTTCAACAACAGTAACGCAATTATGGTAGTAATCGATTAATCAATTGATTATTCTGCCGATTAATAAAACAATTGTCAGGTTCTGCAGTAACTACTTAAGCTTATTTTATGGCATACAATTATTTAATATCGTGATGAGGTAATCTACACTTGCTGATGACCATTCTACAATCAAAGTAAATTACTATACCAGTTGTATTTGTTTCATGCATTTTAAGCTCCAATTGCTTGTATTTATGTGTGAGGTCACAGAAAAATCTAAATGCTGTAATTTAATATTTTTAGATTGGAAAACTGAATGTGATCTTTTAAGTTAGAAATTGAGTAAGTAAAACAGGCAATGTAAAGGTTTGAGGTTTGCACACTGTTTTTTTTAGAGTTCACTTGTTATTGTTAGTAAAAGTACATTCGTATTTTTATTAAGACTGTATTATGTTGACAAGGACACAGACAAAGAAAGAGACAAACAGCCATCCACACTCCCAGTCACACCTAGAGTCACACAGAAGAGCTCCAAGATTCAAACTGGGAACTGTGGACTCAGATCCATCTGCTGCAAAGAGTTCTAATCACTTACTGCTATCAATAATAATTTACTATGATAAATTACTGATAATTATCACAATGAGTCCATACCATTATGATCAGGCAATAAAATATTCACACATGTAAATTTATTCCTATTATAAATGAACATGAGTCGTGCAGATATATTTGCATTAAACAAGCTCCGTTCATGTTCCTCTGTACCCCTGAAGTAGCTCTCAGTCTCAACAAGGTTAGTGACCCCCTGTCCTACTAAATCATATTTGGTTTTGGAGATTGTAACAGATTTTACAACACCAGACTCTGACCTCTGACACACGCAGAGTCACGTGCTTAAGTCTTTGTTTTTGTCCTCCCCTTAATTGTAAATAATTGAAAAAGTTATAGGAAATTCTGAACATGTCACTAAATTCACTGTAGATTTGCTCGACTAAAAGTAAACTAGATTTTTAACACTGGATGACAGCCTGTTTTGTCTTAGTGGTCTTGGGGAGCAGGTACCTTGTCTTGAAGAGAGTGGCCCATCTCAGACCTCAGGTGAGTGACTCTTCAGACGGCTGCAGTTAGCATGTTGGGCTCAAGCTAAATCAGTAAAGGCATCTTCTGTCTGCTTCAACAAGTGTGCTTTCACCTGGACAAGACACAAGGTACAGTAAGAAAATACTGCTGAGAACAATGAGGAAAAAGTCAACTTACATGTTCAGAGCAGGTATTTCTGTAAAAACATGGCTCAAATGACACAAAGCAGATTATCCAGAGTTTCTGTGGTAACAGTGGCCTAAAGGGACTCATTTGGTGGGACCTGTTTTCAGAACGCTGCAATTAAAAGTATTTGAAGTTGTGTATTGTGTTTAAAATACAAGAGGGGAAAAAGGTAGAAAAATGTCTGAAAGTGTGCCATGTAACATTTCTAAAAAGACAGTTTTATTATTTCAATCTAAAAACCTTAAATAATTTTAGGGC